CTGAAAAGTCCCAGTCTCTTTAGCCTCTCTTCATATGGGACCTGTTCCAAACCTCTGATCATTTTAGTTGCCCTCCCCTCTCCCACCCTCTCTCTTCCCCTCTCCCACCTCCTTTTCCCAGTCTCCCCCAGTTTTGTTCAATAAAGACAGATTCAATTTTGGAAGACACGTTATCTTTATTTTGTACATCAGGAAGGGGGGCTAGGGAAGGGTAAGTGGAAGGAGGTGAGGGAGGAATGGGGTACGAGCCCCCGGTGGGGAGGACTGGGCTGGCTCTGTGGGCTTCTGGGGGTGGAAGCTCTCCTGAAGCCCCCAATTGCCCTCTCTCCCCAGATGGCAGCCTGCGGCAAGTGCAGCTGGTCTGATGGCCAAGTGCTGTGATGTGCCCAGTGTGGGTAGTCCGGGCAATCCAAGCCAGGACTGCTTTGCAAGAACTGTCTGTCCGGGGTGGGGGTCGGGTCCCTTTAAGCACAGCCCTCGGCTAGCCTGAGGCAGCAGCTCCACGCTCTAAGTCCTCATCTGATGCCCTGCTGGCACTGCTTCCGGCCATCCTTAATCCTGGTTCAGGGTCCACTTAATGTGGACATGCTAGTTCAAATTAGCAAAACGCTAATTCAAACTAGTTTTTTAGTCTGGATCCATTAGTTCGAATTAGCTTAGTTCGAATTAACTAATTTGAACTAAGTTAGTTCGAATTAGTGCTGTAGTGTAGACATACCCCAAGTTACTAAAATACTCAAGGAGCTGATAGAGGAGGTATCTGAGCCTTTAAGCTATCATCTTTGAAAAAGTCATAGACGTCAGGAGAGATTCCAGAAGATTGGGAAAGGGCAAATATAGTGCCCATCTATAAAAAGGAAAATAAGAACAACCCAGGAAACTAAAGACCAGTGAGTTTAACTTCTGTACCAGGGAAGATAATGAAGCAAGTAATTAAGGAAATTATCTGCATACTTCTAGAATAAGTTGATAGGTAACAGCCAGCATGGATTTATAAAGAACAAATCATGTCAAACCAATCTAATAGCTTTATTTGATAGGATAACAAATTTGTGGATAAGGGAGAAGCAGTGGACATGGTATACCTAGACTTTAGTAAGGCATTTGACACGGTCTCGCATGACCTTCTTATCAACAAACTAGGCAAATACAACTTAGATTGGCTACTATAAGGTGGGTGCATAACTGGCTGGATAACCATTGTCTGAGAGTAGTTATTAATGGTTCACAATCATACTGAAAGAGCATAACGTGGGGTTCCACAGGGGTCTGTTTTTGCACCGGTTCTGTTCAATATCTTCATCAGTGATTTAGATGATGGCATAGAGAATACACCTATTTAGTTTGCAGATGATACCAAGCTGGGAGGGGCTGCAAGTGATTTGGAGGATAGGGTCATCATAATTCAAAATTATCTAGACAAACTGGAGAAATGGCCTGAAGTAAATAGGATCAAGTTTAATAAGGACAAATGCAAAGTGCTCCTCTTAGGAAGGAAAAATCAGTTTCACACATACAGAATGGGAAGCGACTGTCTAGGAAGGAGTACTGCAGAAAGGGATTTAGGGATCATAGTGGACCACCAGCTAAATACGAGTCAACAGTGTGACACTGTTGCAAAAAAAATCAAACATGGTTCTGGGATGCATTAACAGGAGTGTTGTGAGCAAGACACGGGAAGGCATTCTTCCGCTCTACTCTGCACTGATTAGGCCTCAGTTGAAGTACTGTGTCCAGTTCTGAGCACCACATTTCAAGAAAGACGTGGCGAAATTGGAGAAGGTCCACAGAAGAGCAACAAAAATGATTAAAGATTTAGAGAACATGAGCTATGAGGGAAGACTGGAAGAATTGGGCTTGTTTAGTTTAGAAAAGAAAAGAGAGGGGGCATGATAGCGGTTTTCAAGTATCTAAAATGGTGTCACAAGGAGGAAGGAGAAAAATTGTTCTCCTTGGCCTCTGATGATGGGACAAGAGGCAATGGGTTTAAATTGCAGCAAGGGAGGTTTAGGTTAGACATTAGGAAAAACTTTCTAATTGTCAGGGTGGTTAACCACTGGAATAAATTGCCTAGGGAGGTTGTGGAATCTCCATCACTTAAGAGCAGGTTGGATAGACATCTATCAGGGATGGTCTAGACAGTGCTTAGTCCTGCCGTGAGGGCAGGGGACTGGACTCAATGATCTCTCGAGGCCCTTTCCAGTTCTATGATTCACTTTTTTCACACCAGTCATGATTTTATAGACCCCTGTAAACCACTGACCTCTATAAACCTCTGTATTCTCTCTTCATGCCATTTGTTTTTCTTTGGATTAGGAGAAGCCAGGACTATCTACGTGGAGGGGGACAGCCCAGAAACCACCTTGACAGTGCCCCACCTGAGCGAGAACATCCCCTACAAGTTCAAAGTGCAGGCCAAGACCACCCAAGGGTTTGGGCCAGAGAGAGAAGGCATCATCACCATTGAGTCTCAAGATGCAGGTACCAACTTTGTTGTGTATATGCAGGGAAACAAAAGACGACCTTGGGATCTGTGTGGGTTATGACAGGAAACTGGGTCAGGATCCTAGGGTTCTCTTCCCACCTCTGCTGGTGAGACTGTGCCACAGTTTTGCCATCTGTAGAATGAGGATAATAGTATCTCCTGGAGGTGTCAAGGATGAATGTGATATTTATACGATGCTTTGAGATCCTCGGGTGTGAGAACTTATTACTGTTTTATTGCCAATCTTCTGCTTTTGATGACTGCGCACGCCCCAGACCTACCAGCTGTCACGGGCCCTTAACCCTCCCGATCCCGCATGAGCATTCTTCAGATTTTGTCCGTTAAGGGCTCCTAATGGAACAGTTAGAGTACAACCTCTCCAACGGGGGGTAGGTGAGAGGGTTGTCGATGGTGATCACTTAGGGATGGGTAGCTCAGGGTGTGATCATACACACCCTGCGACATTCCCCGAGCTGACTTTTCTCCTCTCTTTTCCAGGAGCTTTCTCACAGTTCGGAGGACAGCAATATATGAGAGAGGAAGTGTACAACCTCCCCATGGAGTACAGCACCAACACCACCATCAGCCACTCCTCTCTGGATCCCTACTACACTGGTAAGGGCCTCTTGTCTGGAGAGCTTCAGTCACAGGGGATGGGGAAGATTTTTGTACAGTCACATTCATTGGTATCACCCAGTCTAAAGGAAGGTGCCTGAGGCAGTGAAAAGTTACAGCACAACACTGACTGGCCATAGATCTCAGGGTCCTAGCTTTGCAGGTATCCAGGGAGGGTCTATCTAAAGGCTGTTCAACTCTGTTGACCTTTCGCAGGCTGGGTGAAAGGCGAGAGGGAGAACGGACAGTTAAAAGCTCTTGTTTAAGTATCTCTATCCCTTCTCTGGCACTGAGGGAATAACAACTTTGAGAAACAATAAATTGCTGTGAATGGGAACTGAACCTCCGACTCCACGGCCTCACTGCACTAATACACAGCACTGCCTGCTCGCCTCCCCTCATTGCTGGGCGGACGCCAGTCTGAAATGTGCCGTGGTGGGCGCAGGCCAGGTCCTGCTGTGCCTGATTGCTTTCATGTGGGGTCAGGAAGAGAATTCTGAACCTGTAGCTCCCAATGCAACGAGCCACTGCTCCTCCGGCAGATCTCTGCGCGCATGTCTGACATAGTCCATGCGGGACAGAGCCAGAGCAGTGCCGCTTGTAGGCCCTTGTGCCCACAGCTGACCTGCCCCTCTTGTTGCAGATGGCATGTTGATGACCACGCAGCGAGTGGAGAGCGGTGGCACCCTCACCAAGCAGGTGACCAAAGAGTTCGTCAGCAGGACCATGATGTCCAGCGGAACCCTCACCAACCAGATGGAGAGACAGTTCTTCGAAGCCTGAACTGGGGAAAGCCCGCCAAAGGGGCGTGTTCAGCCTGCTGAGCTTTTCAGGCAGACTCGCGCTCGGGTCAGCGGCCAGGAGCGGGGCTGCTGTGCTCCCCCAATCCCTCCTGGCCAGAGCACTGCAGTGGCGCCTGCCACACTGGTTGCTCCTTTGACGCCCGCTGCCATGGAGGCAGCAGCATAGGCAGCAGCTGGAGTGGCAAGCGTGTGAGCGTCATTTGGAGCTCGGCATTTCCAGGCCGGCCAGCCTTGGAGCTCCACTGAGTGGTCTGTTGGAGGCTTCTCAGTGCAGGGTCATTGGCCAACCGGTTTTGGAGTCCCGTGGGGTATAACCCTTACTTGCTGACTTTGTGTGTGCGCACTGCCCACCCATGCTCACACCGCTGGCCTCCTGCTGGGCATCTGACTACATTGGGCTTCCACTTGTGTTTAAATGGCCTGTCACCTGCTGCCTTGCGTGCTCCCTGCCAAGCACGACAACTTTTTATTTTCCCACCCCCCCATCTGTTGGCTCAGCCCTGCTCTCCCCCTATTCATTTCACCAGTGGAGGCAACTCCCTTGTGTCCTGCAAATGCTCCCAGTTATAAGCCTGTGTTGTCACATAGCTGGCCAGGCAAATCACTGCATTCCCACCCCACCTGTTGGTGTACAGCCCCCTGCTGCTAACCTGTGGTACTGCAGTGACAGCTTACCCTTCACTTGCCTAGCACTACCCACAAGGGGCTATGATGCCTTTTTGCTTAAACTCTTGCACAGTTTTCCTAGGCCAGATACATACAGTTTACTTTATAAAGAAACGGAGGTAGCTGAGCTCTACATGGAGCATTAAGGAGACACAGCTTTTGGGAAACATCTGTACTAGCGAAGGCTGGTGAAGGAACCCAATCCAAATCCACTGGGGAAACTCCCAGTGACTTCAACGGGCTTGCGCTCAGTACCTAAGGCCTCCGCCATTGGCTTCTTTAGTACAGCAACCCCAGCTCACACAGCACCCCAGAGGGACGAGCATACGCCAGCCCAGCTTATGGCAGCTACAGTGTACACTTGGGCAAAGGCCAGGTAAAGCCCGGAGGACTAGAGGGCAGAAGCAGAACAACTAGTGAGTAGCGTAAGCGCCGAGGAAATACCCCATAAACAAGCATTTGGTTACAAACCTAATATTCAAAATTTTTGTTGGTGTCACAATTCCCACAGTGGAGCTTAGTGCAGTTTAGGCAGATAACACTGTGTGACTTGGAAAGGCGTTTGAGCCCCCCCACCCCACCCCACCCCACCCAGCATATTACATGCCACTTCACCCAGTAACTCCAAGGTGATGGCAGAGAGAGAGAAATGTATGGGAGGGGCTAGTCTCTCCTTTGGAACGGTAGGAGGGGCTAGTCTCTCTCCTTTGGAATGGTGGGAGGGGCTAGTCTCTCTCCTTTGGAACAGATCAACTATTGGCCTCAGCCATTCTCAGGGCACATCGGCAAAGAGCTGTGCTGCAACTATTGGCCTCAGCCATTCTCAGGCCACATCGGCAAAGAGCTGTGCTGGAGCCCTGCCGTGCACGGCTACTGCTTGGTGGTGAGGAGGCGGCTACAGCTGTGTGAACTGAGTCACTCCCTCTGCCCTGCTGCCCAGCGCTGAAGTGGCTGTCGTGCGTCTGACCGTTGTCTAGTGACCCTTTACTAAAGCTATTGCTGTGCCTCTAGCGTCTGTGGCATCCTGTTTTTCCAGTCCCTTTGCTGAGTTCCACCCCCTGTGAACTCCCAGCCTGGTGGTGATGGACTCTCTGTACACCGGTGTTGCCCGGGGCCGGCAGTGCCAGCTGGTGCTGAGCGGGAGAAGCCACCTTTGCTTTTTGGTCCCATATGCCTCTGCAAACTGCACTAGGTTAGGCTGGGGGGAGGGGGAGGGCTTCTTCTAATGTTTCACTTAATCAGGGAGGTGTCTATGAAATGTTCAGAAACACTTACAATGCACAGCCCTGACCACAGGGTTTGTGCGCTTGGTGCTGTAGTCTCACGTCCAACCCAGCTGTACATGTTGAATGTGGCTATTACAGCCTAAAGACTTTAAGGGAGGATTTGCAAAGGCCAGTTAAGTACCTAACTCCCATGGGAAGTCAGTAAGAATTGGGTATTTACCACCTATTTATGCTATTGTAAATCTCCCCCAAGCCCGCGGGTTAGCTCACTCAACAGCATGGGCCAAAAGCTAGAGCAGTGAATTGAGGCAAAACTCCTGGGAGGTTCTAGCCCTGGCTCCACCTCTGACTCCTTCCCTGAGCATGGGCAGGACACTACACCCTGGTGCTGTGGTCAAAGGCGGGTTCTACTGATGAGAAATGCTGTTGAATTGCCTGCGGTTACATTTGGCTCTGAGCATGGGCTGGTTCAGCTTCACCCTCAGCTGACTACCACAGGAGCTGCTCATGAGAATTTGGGAACCGGTTCCTGGTGAGAATGGCAGCTCCCACATTTTATGGGCAAGGCCTGTTTCAAAGGCTGCAGAACAGAAACATTAGCTGCCCTTAGTCCTGGGGCAAGGGGGTTGTTTGTTTTATTTAAGCAGATTATAGAACTCCTCTGCCATTCCTTGGGGACCACAGACAGCTCACAGCAGAGACTGGTTTGAGGGCTCAGTCCTGCACCAGACTTCAGTGAAAATTTTGCCACTGATTTTCCTGTGACCACGATTAAAACACTCACATTGTGTATGACCATCCTGGCCCAAACCTAGATGGGAGCTGGGGCTTGTTTGGTTTTTGATCTCCACGCAAGAAGTCTGGTCTGTTAGAAATTAAACCAACTGTGGTTTTACACAGCTCCTTAGAAATATTTAGTTACTGAATGGACGGCCAATTGGCAGTTGCCTTATATTCCAGTTCCTGTCTTCCAGTGTTGCTGGAAAAATATTTTCTGCTAACGTGGTACTGCACCAAGGCCATCACATTGCATTGTAGCCTCCTTTTGCTGTGTACCACGCTGCTCTGCGCTGTAGGTATAACACACTGATTTGCTGCCTCCAGAGTCCATACAATAATTTTAGCCAAAGAGTTAACGTTGGCCATCCCATGTTGAACCACCTGCCCTGTTGAAAAGGTTTGTCCAGAAGAGCCACAATAGAACATAGCCACGTTTGTAGCTTTCATCGGATCAACTACAATGTTTGGCCTATGCCTATTTCTAGTGTGTACCAAGGAAGAGTCTGTCAGCAGGTGTTCTGGCCCACGTGGCTTTCTATTGCACTTAATAAACAATGTTCTCTCTAGGCTGGCTGCCCCATTTATTTCAAAACCCACAGTTAGACTGGCCAGGAATGAGTTACAGGGGCTAGGCTGTACCATGCTTCCAGCCTGTCAGTGACTCTTTCAGGCTACAAAGGCACACAGCCCCACCACTTCCCTTCAGTAATCACCAAACTTCACGCGAGGCATTATTACACCACCGCTACATGTCACCCACACGTCTGCAGTAACCTGCCTCAGTCTCTGGTCTCGGTTACGTGGAAGTTAACTCTGTGGACCCAGTCCCACGTATGGTAGTGTCATGGAGACCAGAACATGGTCTCCCATTCAGCAGGGTTGGACAGAGATGGCTAAGCCTACAGTTGTGCAAAATTAGCTTTATTACCCAAGAGGGGCAGATTTGTACATTTCCCTGAGTTCCATTGTGAAGTCAGAATCAGCCGCAGTCCATTTCCTCAAGGGGAGGGCAGCTGGCCCAGGACTTTGACCTCCGGGTCCTCAAGGGCGCTGGGGAAGAGAGCCTTATGCAGAAAGGGAAGTGTCTGCTTGCAGAGTCTGAGCCTTTGCCCCATCGGAAGGCTTGGAGAAATAGAAGGTAGCTGTGCCTCTGTACTTCTCCTATGAGACAAAAGGAGAGGAAAGCACCAGAGTCCAACAGAGTCCCCATGCAAATACCCGTGGCCACGCCCACGGAAGGCATTCAGGGAAGATGCATTATTGACTCATGACCACAACTCATTTCATGCGCATGTCTGATAGTAACAAAACACCTATAATTTTGATCCATGCATTTATTGGATAGTTGCATGTCTGATGGTAACAAAACACCTATAGTTTTGATCCATGCATTTATTGGATAGTGAAAGAGAAAGGAGGGGAATGGGTGTAGATAAATGTTCAAATTAAAGAAAAAGAAAAAAAGCCTGAAGGAATTAGGACCGGGCTCCTACATCTCACATTCAGAACTGACTAGGACACTTATGACCAGATTTTCAAAGGTGTGTAAAGATCAGACAGATATCGTTGAAGATCCGAGTTGGCAACTGTCTCTTTAGGAGCTTAATTACCTTTGAAAATCTGAGCTTAGATTTCCAAGTCTAATTTTCAAAAATGACTTTAGTCACTCAAGTGCTTTTGAAAATTTTAACTGGGGGCCTAAAGAGACAAAAAGCAGGAGATATGGTATTCCTTTTAAAAATGCATGACATTATTTTTAACTAAATTTTATATTTTTTTCTCCCAGGGGCAACTGACCCCTCTGGCCCCCTCACTACGCCGGCCTTCCCCCCCACCTTCCTGCAGATCTATCATCTTATGCATGTGCAAGATCTGTGAGAGCCGTCCCATGACTCTGCAGTTAGTGTCTGTGGCGCCTGCTTCTGGGTGGGGTCTCAATGCTGCCACATTCACCTCCAAAGAGGCGGCTTCCCAAAGCAGGCCCTTGCTGCAGACCCCCAAGGCATCCACAGGTCCAGTCTCCTTTCAATGGGCCCACTTCCCAGGGCTCAATGATCTTGGACCAGGAACAGCTAACAGGAGAGTTTGGAGAGGGAGTTCTCCAGGTAAAAGAGTAAAAACGGGACCCTTGTGGAGCTTCTAAAAGGTTTGAAATCTAGAAGCCTCTGTTAATTGGCTGAGCCTCAGTCAGCGGGAGGGGCTACCAGAGCCTGTGACTCAGCGACCAGGAACAGCTAACAGGAGAGTTTGGAGAGGGAGTTTAGAGGGCACTAGTGACTTCTGACCTTCTTTAAAACATAACTCTTAGAATAATCTATACTCCAGAGGTCAGCGGGAGGGGCTACCAGAGCCTGTGACTCAGCGACCAGGAACAGCTAACAGGAGAGTTTGGAGGGGAAGTTTAGAGGGGGAGTTTAGAGGGCACTACTGACTTTGGACATTCTTTAAAACACAACTCTTAGAATAATCTCTACTCCAGAGGTTTAAAGAGAATCCCAGTTTGTACTTAAACTTATTCATTACAAACATGGAGACAGAAGCCCAGCAGCAGAGTGGGGGCTATCCTGTTTATTGCGTCGAGTGTAATATGTATGATTACCTGCCCTGTGGGCGGGTGGCGTATGTGTGCACCCATTGCAAGGAGCTCCTGACCCTCAGAGACCGAGTTCGGCTTTGGAGGACAGGGTAGCTGAACTGGAGGAGCTAAGGGAGCTAGAGACCTATGTTGATGAGACTTTCCGGGACACTGTAGCACTGTCCCACCTCCAGTCTGAGAGCCCCAGTTAGTAGTGGGTGATTCGATAGTTAGAAACATAGATAGTTGGGTTTGTGATGACCAGGAGAACCGTATGGTCACTTGCCTGCCTGGTGCGAAGGTTGCAGATCTCTCGAGGCATCTAGATAGATTTATGTGTAGTGCTGGGGAGGAGCCGGTGGTCGTGGTACATGTCGGTACCAAGGACATAGGGAAGGATAGGAGAGATGTCCTGGAGGCCAAATTTAGGCTGCTAGGAAAGAGACTGAAATCCAGGACCTCTATGGTGGCATTCTCGGAAATGCTTCCAGTTCCA